CGTAATAACCAAAAAAAAAGCACTTCCATTTTTTATTTTATTATTATTATTATAAAAAAATATAAAAAACCAAAAAAATAAATTAAAAAAAAAGAAAAACGGATTGAAGTATATCCCAGCTTTTAAAATTCGGTTTAGCTTGGTTGGATCACCTTTCAATAACGGAATTTGAGTTCAAATTGAATAACTAAAAAAATCCGAATTTTAAGGTATTTGATTTAGGATGAAACTTGAATTTGAAAGTGTTTGATTGAAAGTGAAACTCAAATTCTCAATGTCTATAAAAGGGCGGTATCTCGAAAAAGAAAGAAGGAAAGGAATTTTTTTTTTAGGGAGCTCTAGGGAATAGCATTCTTTTGCATTCTATTTTACAGGCGAGTGTTCTCTAAATTTTGAATCCTAAGGAAATTATTCTGCGCCTAGAGGGGAAATCCGAATTCCTTCATTGGCTCGGCCCTAATAATCCATAAAATTCCAAGCAAATCATCTTCATCAAATCCGATCAGAAGCCATCCTCCAAATCTGTAGAATCAATAGCAACCGCAGCCGACAAGTCCCAAAATTGCCCCTTGTTCCCTTGGCGTTTCTCGGGATCGGGACGTTAATGCCAAGGAAGGCGGAGGCGAGGAACCAAGGAACCGGGGAGAAGGGGTCAAGAACTTAAAATCCCCGTTTCGATTTGAAAAACAAAAGGTAAGTTGTTTTGGTTTAAGATATAGCTGTAGGTTCATTTTTTTTTTTTTTAAACTAAAACAAAACGGAACAAGGAAAAGAGTAGGCGGGGGAGAATAAAGTTTTTGGGTAATGGTGTGGGATCCAAAATAATTTCTGTAATATTTTAATTATATATATATATATATTAGCTTAAATTTTTTTCTTTCGCATCTTTTTGCACTAATATAGAATTGATGTTTTAATTTTTTTACGTATATCATTAGATTAATAAAAATCCATAAAAAATCTTAGACCCAAAATAATTTCCTATAATATGTATATATTTAGCTTAATTTTTTTCTCTTTCGCATCTTTTTTGCACTAATATAGAATTGATGTTTTAATTTTTTTACGTATATCATTAGATTAATAAAAATCCATAAAAAAAAAATCTTAAATTTTCAACGAAGTCTCCTATCCGATAGGGACCGACGTTTGACAAAAAATATATAGACAATTAGTTCCCGACGAAGTCTCCTATCAGATAGATATCGATGTCACACGAAAAAATAAAAAAAATATTTTAATCAAGACATCCTTCGACACACCGGTTGTGTCAAGGCTTCTAGTGGATCCGATGTTTGAATCAACGTGTCACCCGATAAAGGGGACCGACGATTGGTTCAATACGATGCCACACTCAACACTAAAAATACATTTTGTTAAGATAATGCTTTTCGTTTAAGATTTAGAAAATAAATTAGCATAGATAAACAATATAGGAGGTAAATTTAGGATTAAAACAAGATGTGGTACCTTTCTTAGGAAAGGGCACTTTTAGGGTGAATAATTATCTTCTTAAAAGTGTAACCAACTGCTTACCATAGAATCTCTAGACCGGTGTTATTTTAGGTTCCTAGTTCCTTAATACTAGGTGGCGACTCCAAAGCTCTGTAAATAAACTTGTAAATATCAATCACACATTCGAGTGATTTTAATTTTTGGAGTCCGTCCGACGTCGGGTAACGACGAATGGCGACTCCATCGGGGACCTTTAGAGTTAGGCCATAGGATTAGCTTCTTAATCTATCTACTATATTTATTTTTGTCGTTTATTTTCTAAATTTTATTTTATTTTATTTGTACATATTTTATTTTTTGTAATTTATTTTAGTATTGCACGTTTATTTTTTATTTTTTTATTTTGTTTGTTTTGTTTGAACTCGGGTTGTGTATTTTTACGTAAATTGTTGCACACACCACGAAGGAAACCTATAAAAGCTCGGACCCGAGCTCAACCCTAATAGGAATTAGATAGAGGGATTTGGAGGCGAGTATGATGAAAGTCTACCGATGCTCTTTCGGACTCTCATTTGGACTGAAACTCACCCTATATATTGGAAATGGTGGAATAAAGTTCCCCTACCTCCATCTGTATAAGGTTAGAGGCTCGATTACCCCACTGGTAATTTAGGCGAGTCCGAAACTTGAAATTTTTTTTTAGGGCTAGTCAAGCTTTGTACCCAATCATAGAAAAGCTAGATCTTGTCTATTAGGGTTGACCCAATTAAGACACGAATCGGTATCAAATGATGTCGATACTAACCTTTAGTTTTGCGGGTTATCCTTCATATTAAATCATGACGAAGAAATCGAAACGAGGTTGAGGATTTTTGGGTCGGATCCGAGCGGGCCCAAAGTGATGAAGGAGATTGTCCGCCCCCGAATTTTGTGTCGACTCTACCGAAAGGGTCAAATTGGGCGACAAGATGGTCAACACTAGTCCGCTTCTCGGTTGTTGGGAAATGCTCACTCCACAGAGACAAATCTGATTTTCAAAAAGCATATGGAGACATAGCTTATCCGATCGAGATCAAGGCTCGGACCGCATGCTTCCAAGCTATGATAGAACATTGGGACCGGATTATCGTTGTTTCACTTTTGGAAGTGTAGACCTATCACCTACACTTAGAGGAATATGAGGCTCTGCTAGCATTTCCGAAACAAAAGCTGTCTACTTCTATAGTTCGCCCGATCATGGTCCATCAAATTTTGCATGGTTGATTGGAGTTAATACCACCTCAGCCAAGAATCGACTAACTACGAGGGGTAAATCTCAAGGTTGGTTTTGGGACATTCTCCAGCGGAGTTCATGAAGCATTTGCAAAATCTTGATAACCGAGCTTAGGCTTCAAATTTTGGCATTAGCAATATATGGGCTAGTATTATTGCCATCGGCGAAGGCATGATCGACGTTGAAGCTGTCAACGTATTTATGAGTGTGGTATCTCTCAAAGTTAACCCCGTTGCGGCAATCCTTGCGGAAACACTCTCTTCATTAAACTTCGTCGAAAGAAAGGAGGTGGACATTTGAGGTGTTGTGTCCAGTTCGTTGTTTGTATGGATTGTAAGCCATGTAGTGAGTGAGTGAAGCCTCCGGCATCTTTCGCACCCCATGGCATTTGCATTCTAAGTTAGAAAATTTTACTTGTCACGCCCTCGATGAGTTGGGCAAGACAATGTGGGCTGAGTTATTCTTCGGTTTAGAGAAGTCGGAATTTCGTTGGAGAGCACGGTATGCTTTTTACGGAGCTACACGGCTTTTTGTGGTAATTTTGCTTGGGTGCCATTAATTGGAGCTCGGTGCTTGCATCGGTTATTGTCCAAATATGTTTCTAAGACAATTAGGGTTCGAGCGAGTTCATCCCAAGAACGATTGGTCTAAACGAGTTTTACGAAGACTTGAGGGTTTGTAAGAATTTGTTAGAGAAAGCGAAGGTTGCTTGGAGAAATAGAGGGATAGTCACCCCCGAAAGAAGAGTGGATGGAAGGACCTCACTCGGATATCCAAAATGGTAAAGCGCTAGAGGGAAAGGATATCGTGTACCACCATTCGAAGGCCCATCTCGATTGATTAATGAGACAATGGAGGATGTTCGTCGAAAGTGAATGCCCGACATGAGATGCTCGATGAGGGCCTAAATGCTCGAGTGGTTGAACTAACTCAAAAGAAGAGGAAGTTAGAGGAAATTCGAACATCAAAGATGATATGATGAAAGCTACGAAGGAAGAAAATAAGAAGCTTCGTAGCCAACTCCAATTGACAAAAGGAGTTGTTGATAGAGCTTAGAGATGAGAAAGACGACCTCGAGGAATTCAAAGATACCACACGAGAACGAGCTTGCAAATCAATCGGACATAATACGTAATTTGAATACTCGTGTGGAAGAATTGAAAGGAAAGGATAGGGTCAATCGGGATCGACTCGTCGGATCTAGAGAAGAACACCTCGCGATAAGACGAGCAATGACAAAAGAGATAGATGCTTTGAGAAAAGAAGCGAGTCGAGTGGGGGAGTAGGACCATGAAGTACCATTTACAAGCTCGGAATGCCAAGGATTATGCTTTGGGGATGCAAAACACCATAGGGCTTTTAGTTGATGGTATACGTCCAAGAGATGAACAAGTTCGGCTTTTCTATGAGAAACTCCGAAGGCTCATCAATGGCATGGTCTCCTATGAAGGCTTGGGGTTGTGGCCGAACTTAGAATAGGGTTTCATATGTACTAAGTCCATTTCTTTATTGTAATTTCCTTTAAAGTCACATTTAGAATGTGCCAAAGTTTGAAATTTTAATTTTTCAAATTGTAATAAGAATCTTTATTTTTTAATAAAGTATGAGTTTAGCATGGATATGTTTTTCAAGACTAACGGTTCCAAGTCTCGGTGTTGCAATCAAAGGCTTATCTCATGTATGAACATGTCATGATTGAAGTTGGGGGCATATATGTCTCCCTAATCGCCCAAGTATCCGTAGGGTAATTATCACCCTCGGCGAGTACTAGCTTGATGCGGCCGTCCTTGACAAGAACTGCGTCATGATTTAATGTGCAACAAATAAAGAAAGGTACTCAACCCGGTTCGAGTCATGCATTTGCATTTTATATTTATTGTATATATTGTCATCTACTCGGGAACTAAACATAGGCCGCTCCACTCAATCCCTTCCGCACGTCCACGACACCGGATTAAGGACTCGCCAAATGGAGAACGAGGAGAGAGTACGACGGGGAAGAAATTCGACAACAAGAGTTTGAGTCATTGAGAGAAGAGATGGCTCGAATGAAGGCTTTACTACACGAAATAAGGGGAAGTAGCTTGAATGTGGGACGGGAACGGTTTAAAATGCCACATGATGTTCCATTACGTAATCAATCCGAACCAACGGCCCCTCGGACGACCTTCCATGCTGAAGCCTCACATCCAACTTGGAGCATATGCCTATCGATGGACCCTCGAGTTCCACCAATGCCTATCGTGGATCCTACGGAAGAGGCAACTTATGGTCATAAGATAGGCTGAAGGACCAGAGCATGGATAGATTGATGGCCCTCGAAGAACGCTTAAGAGCGGTGGAGGGTGAAGACCCCTATGATCCTATCGGGGCTTACGAGATGTGTTTGGTGCCGGATGTAGTAATCCCAAGGAAGTTTAAAGTGCCGGATTTCCCTAAATACACGGGAATCCGAGTGTCCCGTGACCCATTTGAGGGTCTATTATAGCAAGATGGCTGAAGTTGTCCATGATGAAAAGTTTGTTGATCCATTTTTTTCATGAGAGCTTGGGTGGCTCAGCCCTAGTTCGGTACATGAGGTTGGAAGGTTCAAAGATCGGAAGTGGAAAGATTTAGCCGATGCCTTCCTAAAGCGAGTATAAGTTCAACATGGAGGTCGCTCCGAATCGTTCGGATCTATAAGGAATGGAAAAGGGGGCTAAGGAGACGAGTGAAAGAGTATGCGCAAAGATGGCGCGAGGTGGTCGCTCGGATTCATCCACCATTGCCGAGTCCGAGTTGATTTCAATCTTCTCAAATACATTCAAAGCACCATATTTTGAATACTCGATCGGTAATGCGTCGACGAACTTTGCGATATAGTAGTCATTCTTTGAAAGAGTCGAGTTGGTAATCGAAAGTTGGAAAGATTTCTAATGGGGTAGAAAAGAAGACAAATGTGGGGATAAGGAGGAGAGAAGGAGAG